ACACAATTCTGTCAGGTAGTCCCTGCCTCTGAACGTCAACTGCCCAGCCCTACTGTCTTCAGAGGACCCCTGCAGGTCCTCCCTCTTTGCCTTATGGGGCCCATCCTCCGACATAACTTGGTCCATCTTGCCCGGGTTCTGCACTGTCACTGAACACTGCTCCCCATGCCATTCCTAAGCACATCAGAGCTGGCCCACTGTGTGCCTCAGCTCTCACCACTAGGGTGCAAGAGGATCTCCAAGGCCCGATCACAGGGATGGCCCTCCGCCAGGGTGACACAGATAGTAGCTGCAGAGCTGGCATGAGGGAGGGCGTCTGCACGCAGGGCATGAGAGGGGCTCTCCAGGCCTGAGGAACAAAGAGGTAAAATGAGTCAAAGTCACTTCACTTCAAGCCCCGAGAGCACGGGTACCAGCTTTTCAGATAGTGGTGGCAATAGGCAGTGATTATGAATCTGAGTGCTCAGAATCTGATCTTATATAGACTTATATAAGGCTTATGCAGGCTTATACAGGCAAAGAAGGGCTTATCTCCTTAAAGGGGCTGGAATGTGGGTTCCCAGTTCTGTGCTCAAGCTGGCCAGAAGGTTACACTCTCAATTAGCATTCCCTTCCCCCACCCTACCCCACCTATTGCACAAAGAAAAACCACTCCCATACCTGGACCAGTCCTACTGTATCTCTCTTGACACTGGTGAATGGAGTTGTACATAAATAAATTACATTGATAAAACTAGTGTGAGAGCCAGTCTGGCACAGGCTGTGGAAGCAGGAGGAGCAGGAGTGAAAGGTTCTTAGCTACAGAACAAGTGTGTGGCCAGCTTGGACTATCTGAGACCCTGCCACAAACAAACAAATGAGCAAAAGCAACAATACTAATTAGGGGTCCCTAAGACAGGTCTCTGTCTTCTTTTTACCCTTGTTTTCTCACCTATGAGTTGTGGATTATTTCCCAGTCTGCCACACTGAGTAGGGCGGCTAGGCCGGGCCAGATACACCTACCTGCCAACAGACATGGTCCAGTCACCAGCATCTCAAAAGAGAAGGTGTAGGGAGCAGGACAGTGGGCGGGGCCTGAGAACACCTCTGGAGGTGCAGTTGGTGGCTCCCAGGTCAGCCCTTCCTCCTCAGGACTGCCTACTCCAAAGCAGCTGGTGGGGCTAGAAGGGAGCACAAGGAAGGGGGTTGGGCTACTGTGAAGGTCACTGGCCCTTCTGGCTGACTGGTCCCCACCCTTCTTCACTCTGTCCAGCCCCCAGGGGCCCCCTCACCCGCACTAGACCCAGAGAAGTTGAGGGAGGGATGAAGAGAATCACCATAGGCCCAACCTGTCGTCACAGAGCCCCGGAGACCTGGGGGACCCTGGCAGGCCTGGCTGCGCCAGTGGAGTGAACACAGTGGGCACGGCCACATGCATCACCCCGTCAGGCCTGGAGGGCAGCTCCCGGCTGCTGCACAGGGTCACTGTGACGGTACCGGCCGCAGCGACAAGGCCGGTGGGCAACACCAGCGTGGACCGAGCTTGGGCCAGATCCAAGACAAGGTGACCTATGATAAGTAAGAAAAGGTTTCAGAGAGCACTAGAAGCCGAGAGGATGGGGAATAGTGGGGAGGGTGAGGCACAATGCAGGACTTTATGTAGCTGGCATGACATGTGAGACAGGATGGCACATGAGGTGGATGATGGTGGAAGAGTCAGGCAGACAGAGGGAATGGACCAGCAACAGCCAAGAGCACAATGATGTCACAGTTAAAACGGAGGACTGAAGAGAAGGTCCTAAGGTCTTGGAAGGCCCTTGCTTTCCCTGTCTGCTCCTTCTTGTTCAATCCTAGTTTGCAGTCACCCTAAAGAGCCTCCCTTTTGCGGACTGACACGTCCCTCTAGATTGGTGCCTGCTATATTCACATCTTCTCTGCTGGTGAGAGGCAGAGGACTCTCAAGTGCTCACTAGAACGATAAGGAAAAAAGCGGGTGAGAGAGCCCAGCGTGGTGGCTCGCACACCTCTGCTTTTAGCATTTGGGAAGGAAGGAGCAAGAGAATCTCTGAGAGTTCATGCCAGCCTGGTCTACGTAGTGAGTTCTAGGACAGCCAGGGCTATTTAAAGAGACCCTGTCTCAAAAAATAAAAACAGACAAACAAAACAACCACAGCGAAGTGCGTGGTCCCATCCACACAGCTGAGGCCTGATACAGTGAGAAAAATACAGAGTCAGGTTTTGAGTCTTAGCTCTGTGAATTCTAATTGTGTCATTTGACAATCCTCTTGGGGGCCCTTCACGTTAGCATCCATAAAATGGATGAGGAATAAATGAAATAATTAATGCAAAGCACCCAAAAAGGTTGAAAGGAAAAAGGCACATTCTATGTTCTTCGTATAGAGTATAGAATAAATAGGCCGTTTGAGAGGCTTAATCCAACTCTCAACACCACTAAATTCTGTCCCTTTTCTTACCTGACAGGCATACAGGCAAGAATCAAAAGAGCACATACATGAGTAAACAGAAAACTAGGATGCAAACCACAGAACACAGCACAGGGCACAACTTTCACCTCCTCCAGCACCCACTGGGCCCCTTTGTCCCAGATTCTGTGTTGGGGACCTAGAAATGACCAAAGCACAGGCCCAAACTCAGGAGCCAATGCTTCAGGAGAGACGGCCAAATGGATGCAGTGACATTTACTGTCCCTCTTAAGTGCTTCTGGCTGGAGATCAGGGAAGAGAACAATCAGTTATTTGTGGAGGATGAGAGAGAATTTCCTGAGGAGAAGCATTTTGAGTAACTCTCAAAGAACAAGCACAAATGCATTAGTCGGAACCAGGGGGTGAGAGAGCAAGGAAGTACAAAAAGGGCTGTTGTAAAAACGAGGAATCCCAACCGCTAGACCATGTGGGTGCTGGAGAGATGGCTCAGTGGTTAGTACTGTCTGCTCTTCCAAAGGACTCAGGTTCAATTCCCAGCACTTACATGTCAGTTAACAACTGTCTGTAACTCCAGTTCCAAGGGATCTGACACCCTCATACTAATGCACATAAAATAAAATTAAGTCAATTATAAAAATAAAAAAAAAAGAGCTGTTGTGGAAATGCTGTGGTACCTGGTGCCAGAGGGGAGCTATCGAGATGGAGTGAGAGCCTGGGCTGTTCGACAGGGCTTTGCATTTGCTTCCGGAGCTAGTCAGTCCACACGGGTCACTGGGTAACTGGTGTATGCAGTCTAAGAGATAAGGGCCTGGGGAGCGTTCCTTGGGTAGGGGAGAAGGGTTGCCTGCCTCACACTAAAGAGACTGTGGCCACCTGGACAGTAGGGTCTTTCGTACCCTGTAAACTGTGCAGTGCCTGTTGTGTCTGCTTAGCTGCGAACCTCACCTGGGCCACATTCTTTCAGCACCATGTCTGGGGCGGGAGCCCAGTCCATGACTGTTGGATAAAGGGATGAACCGATGGATGGAAAATAAAATCAGTGTCTGCAAGAAGAAAGAAGGCTGGCGGGAGGCATGAGGGTGCAAGAGCCTGAGCTGTGGCTGCCATTCGAGGGCCCGGGCTCGGAGCTTACTCACCCTGTGCGCAGCGGCGGGGCGTGGAGGTCCCCAGTCCCGGGCCCAGAGCGCGGCAGCAGGCGGCCTGCGAGCGGCGCCGGCTCTGCAGCTGGAAGGAGACGCGCCGTCCGGCCGCCTCGGCCTCGAAGCCAGATACCACCTCGGCCTCAGCCAGAGGGTACACGAACACGCCTGCGAGCGAGCGGGAGCGGACAGACGCGCTGTCGAACCCCGCCCGGCACCTGCTCCCTCCCCGCGCCCGCGCCAGGTCTCACCGTCCACGGGCTGGGGCTGCGGGTTGTGGTAGGTGAGCCGGGCCCGCAGGCTGAGGCAGGGTCCCTTGGCATAAGCCCGGACGCAGGAGTCGGTGAGTGGCAGCGGCGTCCAGCTGGAGGGGCAGTAGAGGCCGGGCATGGCGCCCACGCTGCGTGAACAGGAGCTGGATGAGAAGCGCGTCGCCCCGCGTCCCGGAGCCTACCTCTGCTACCCGACCCCAGGACGAAGGGCAGCCGAGAGGCGCGAGGCTGAGTCGGATGCTCCCCCCTCTCCCCAGCTCCAGCCTCCAGGCAGACAGGTGGCGGGGCAGATAAGAACGGGTGGGGGGTGAGTGCAGAGATGGCAAGATGGGCATCCTCGCCCGTTACCTGGGCAGCCGCAGCGGAGCTCAGCTCCCGGCAGCGGGGGAGTGGAGGGTTAATGGTTAACCCTCCAGTCCAGGCGCCCGCCAGTCTCTCTGCGGGTCGAGGGGGGCAAAGGCGGGTGTTGTCCGCAGCTGTTCCTGCACCTTCCCCGGGACTCGCCGCCACCCCCACCCCACCCCCGTACTCGTCCCCTTTCTCCGGGCTCCCCACGGTTGCCAGCTGTCGGAAGCGGCGCCTATGGAGTGATGGAAAATACTCCGGGTGGAGAGCAGAGGTTTAAAGGGCCAGCAGCGTCCCAGGCGCCCCCTAGCTCGCGAGGGCCCCCGGGGACGGGGTGAGACAAGGAGCTGAAGGGGCTGCAGCAGGAGGAACGAGAAAGGGACGCGGAGAAGCGTCTCGGGGAGGTCAGATGTGGAGGGGCGTCGCGGCAGCGGGAGCCCACGTGACCTGCCTAGGGCGCCTCTCACCCTCCGCCGGCCGGAGACTAGACAGCTAGCGAGGGAGCCGCCGGGGATGCTGCAGGGTGGGTCTCGGGACCGCCCCCTCCCTCCGGGCAGCCCAAGCCTCACCGTCCCTCCTCGGCGGAGTGGTGGGCGTCGGGACCACCAGGCGGGAGGTGGGCGAGGCCTCCTCTGAGCCGCGGGCTGTCCCCGTCCCCGCACCTGCGAAACCCGACCGGGAGCGGCGGCTGAGACTCCCGGGAGCCGGGAGCGCGGCGCCAGCGCGGTCGTCCCGCCCGGGTTCCCAGAGGCCCCCCCCTCCGGGCCCGCCTCCGCCCCGCCCTCCTCGGCGGCGGGGGCTGCGGCTCGGCCGCTCGCGGCGCCTCCGCGCGGAGCCGGGCGAGGTGCCGCAGTGCAGAGGGCCGGCGTCCCGGCCGCCGCACGACCCCCCTCCGGCGCCGGAGCGAGGCCCCCGAGACCCCACCTCTCCGTCCTGCTGGAGGTAAGGAGTCCCGTGAGCAAACCGGGGCGGCGGAGTCTGCACACACCCCCACCTTCCCAGCACGGCAGCGGCCCACCCACCGCCACCCCGCCCCGGTGGACTCCCGTGCACTGCAGTGACCCTCCCTCATCACCGCAGCGGAAACCAGCGTTCCGCCAGCTGGGGCTCGAACCCCCCCCCGCCCCCGCCCCGCACACGGAAAGCAAAACACTTCTTGGTCACCGCAGAAACCTCCCCTTTGGCGGCGTGAGCCTTCGTTTTGTGTGCTCACCGAAGAGACTCCCTTCAGCCCAGGCTCTCCCCGTTCCTGCGGCAGCGTCCCCGCCCGGAAGCTGCCTGCCTTGCCACCACTGCGGTGTTAGCTCCTTCCTTTTGGGGAGTGGGGAGGACGCGCAGGATGGCTTGCCTGCTCAAGGGCCTTGAAAGCACCCAGCTGGACTGGGGGTGCAGGCTGTTTGTGTCACAGCAGTGGCCCCCGACCCCCAGCCATCAGCACAGCACCTGCCGGGGCGGGGGGGGGGGGGAGGAAGGGGAAATCTTGCTTGAAAAACAGGTCCCTCGTTATTGGCAGGATTTTCGCGTTTGACAGCGTCCCACTGCAAAACGTTAGGAAAGGCTGTAAAATCTCTCTAATACCTTGAGGGAAGATTCTGAGAACCCCGAATAACGGAAAGAGGTGAGTTTGTCTGTGATCACCCATGCAAGCACTCCTAAAGATGCCCTGCTCCAATTCTGCAAAGAGAAGTTAAGGAGAGCTGGGGGTGGGAACCGCCAGAGAGGAATGGGCTTTTAAGCCAGACCCACGCCTTTCCACCCCGACTCCTTAACTCTATCATGCTGAATACAGTTATCACCACACGATCCTAGGAGGAACCCCTGCTTTGAGCACCTGAATCCAGGGTAGCAGATTCCAGTCATCTCCACCGTTAACACCACTTAGCAAGACAGACACAGCTTGGCCTTTGCCTGTTGAGCCATTTTCCTGCCCCATCCACTGTTGACCAGGCTGACCTAATATTTGTAGCAATTCTCCAGTCTTAGCCTCTCTGGAACTGCGATTACAGGCATGGATGGACCACCGTAATTTTTGTTTGAGCTGTGAGATCGGGGTAAAGTTTTTTGGTTTGTTTTACATATGGACGTCCAATAGCTCACACCATTTGTTTTTTGTTTTCTGTGTTTTTGGATTTTTGAGACAGGATTTCTTTCCCTGGCTGTCCCGGAATCCCTTCGTAGACCAGGATGGCCTTGAACTCACAGAGATCCACCTGCCTCCACCTCCCGAGTGCTGGGATTAAAGGCATGCACCACCACTTGTTAAAAATGCTGCCCACGGGCTGGAGGGATGGCTCGGTGGTTAACGGGAGCATTGTCTGCTCTTCCAGAGGTCCTCAGTTCAATTCCTGGGAAACACATGGTGGCGCATAACCATCTATAATGTGATCTGGCGCCCTCTTCCGGCGAGCAGGTGTACATGCAGATAGAGCACTCAGATTAAAAAAAGGCACTTGGCACCAAGCAAGTGCCTGAGGTCTGTCTTCATAACCTACATGGTAGAAGGATGTTCACTGTGGCATTATGTGCCCCGCCCTCACAAATGTGATCCAAAAATAAATAAAATATACTTAGACAGGCGGTGGTGGCCTTTAATCCCAGCACTTAGGAGGCAGAGGCAAGTGGATCTCTGAGTTCGAGGCCAGTCTGCTTTTACAGAGCAAGTTCCAGGACAGCCTGGAACTATACAGAGCTATACAGAGAAACCCTGTCTTCAAATCAAAACAAAACAACAACTTTTTAATTAAAAGTCATCTGGTTATGCTTGTCTGAAGGTAGCTTTTGGCTTGCTTACTCACCATTTTGCCATATCACAGTTTTGATTACTTGTGTAAAAGGATTCCTAACACACACACACACACACACACACACACACACACACACACACACACA